GTTCAAGGGCCATCAGCAGTCGGTGTGGGCGGTGCTCGCCGTCGACCACGACCGCGTGCTCACGGCGTCGGCAGACAAGACCATCCGGCTGTGGTCGATCGCGCAGCCGGCCAAGCCGCTCGCGGTGTTCGGCGGGCACACGGATGCCGTGCGCGGGCTCACTCTGCTCGAGGGTGGCGAGTCGTTTGCGAGCTGCGGCAACGACGGCAACATCCACCTCTACTCGCTGCACGGCGCGGCATCGTCGGAGGCCAAGCCGATCCCGCCGGTGCAGGTGCTGTCGGGCCACACGAGCTTTGTGTACAGCCTGGCGACGGTGCCGGGCGGGCGCGGCGAGCTGGTGAGCGCGGGCGAGGATCGCAGCGTGCGCGTGTGGCGCGACGGTGCGCTGGTGCAGACCATCACGCTGCCAGCGATCTCGGTGTGGTCGGTGGCGGTGCTTGGCAACGGCGACGTGGTGTGCGGTGCATCCGACGCTACGGCGCGTGTCTTTACGCGCGATGCTGCTCGTGTCGCCGACGACGAGAGCCTCAAGGCGTACGAGCACGCGATCTCGACGCAGGCGCTCAACGCGACGCAGGTGGGCGACATCAAGAAGGAGGACTTGCCAGGCGCCGAGGCGCTGGCGCAGCCGGGGAGCAAGGAGGGGCAGACCAAGATGGTCAAGAACGGCGACGTGGTGGAGGCGCACCAGTGGAGCGCGGCGTCGCAGCAGTGGGTCAAGATCGGCGAGGTGGTGGGCGGCGTGGGCTCGGGCCAGAAGAAGCTGCACGAGGGCAAGGAGTACGACTATGTGTTTGATGTCGACATCGCCGACGGCGTGCCGCCGCTCAAGCTGCCGTTCAACCTGAGCGAAAACCCGTATGCGGCGGCACAGCGGTTTTTGGAGAAGAACGATCTGCCTCAGCAGTACATCGACCAGGTGGTCAAGTTCATCGAGACCAACACGCAGGGCGTCAGCCTCGGCGGGCCGCAGTATGTGGATCCGTACACGGGTGCCAGCCGATACCAGCCTGCTGGCGGCGCATCGGGCACCGCGAGCACGGCACCAAACCCCACCACGGGCGGCAGCAGTGCGGGCACGTACACGGGCGCACGCAACGTGGATCCGTACACGAGCTCGGCTGCCGCACCCGCGAGTGGCCAGAGCAGCGCCGGCGTCGGGGCGGACACCAAGGTGCTGCCGCAGCGCACATTCCTCGCGTTCCGCACGGCCAACTTTGGCGCGATGCGGAGCAAGCTGAAGCAGGTGAACGAGCAGGAGGCGGTGCGGCTGTCTGCGGCGGAGCTGGCCGAGGTGGATGCGGTGATTTCGGCGCTGGAGGCGGGNGAACGAGCAGGAGGCGGTGCGGCTGTCTGCGGCGGAGCTGGCCGAGGTGGATGCGGTGATTTCGGCGCTGGAGGCGGGATCGTCCAGGTCGCGGTTGCAGATCGACGCGGTGCGCAAGGCGCTTTCGTGGAGCGCCGGATCGCGACTGGCTGCTTTGGATCTCGTGCGATGTGCGGCGGCGGTGGGTACGACGACGGCGCCGCTCGAGGTGGCGCGCGAGGCGTTCGAGGCATGTGCGTGGGCCGAGCCCTGGCCTGCACCTGGATCGGCGGAGGTCAAGGTGCGCGATGTGAACTCGATGCTGGCGCTGCGCACGATTGCGAATCTGTGGCAGGACGCTGCGGCTCTGGGTGCACTCGAAGCGAATGCGGTGAGTGTGCTGGGTAGTTTGGGCGACACGCATTACGGGCAGCTGGGCAAGAATGGGCGGATTGCCTTTGCCAGCATCGTGTACAACGCCAGTGCGCAGATGGTCGCGTCGACGACGCGCAGCAGTGCAGCGGGCATCGTGCTTGGGCTGGTGAACGAGGTGCTTGCACGCGAGCAGCACGACGGCGACAGCGAGGCGGTCTACCGCATCCTCGTCGCATTGGGCAACCTGCTCTGCTCACCCTCCGGTGCTGGACTCAACGGCAGTAAGCTCGATACCACCCGTAGCCTTGTAGCGGCACTCGGCGGCTCGGCGCTCGGGAGCGAGGCGAGGATTGCCAGCATTGCGCGCGAAGTGTCGGAGCTGTTCTAGGTCTAGACCTGCAATGCTATGCTAGTGGTAGCGGCAGAAAAAGCGCCTTGATCGGCAGTGTGTGTTGCATAAGGCTCGTCAGGGGTTCCCGTCGGAGAGAGAGGGTCGGGGCGGGACATTTCGCGGGCGCGTAGAGATCTCGTGACTCTGGTGGTGGATGGAGGGATTGCGCATTTACGCAGCATCGCAGCGCGGGCCACTCACTCGGTTCCCTAGCTGCCTGTACACGCCCTTACACCTTGTTGCTTCCTTTTGCCTGTCTGTCTTTGAGGTCTGGTCTAAAGGTTGGGCCTCAAGGCTGGATGACTGGATCGTGGCAGCTTGGGCGGGATGCAGGAGTCGAGCGGTTAAACCTCGAACGCGCCTAAGGAAAAAGAAAAAGAGGCGCTAGGGAGCCGAAGGCGTGTTCGGTAGCTTGCCGCCCTGCGCACCTGTCAGTGTCCAAAGGTTGCGTTCCAGACCCGCCACGCGCCCATTTGCGAGGGCTGGAATGGTCCCGTGCTGTCGCCTCTTGTCTCGACTTTTTGGCCCCACCTTGCCACCGCTCGGCACAGCAGCGCGAGAGGTTGGGAGTGCGCGCACATTTCGGCGACCTGGACCAGCTGACCCTTGTTGAGCTTGTCTTTCTTTACCCCGCATTTCCTTTCGGCTCGCACAAGCTCAGCTCGGCTGGCGCGGCCGGGGGGGGGGGGGGGGGGGGGGGGGG